GAGAGAGGGAGAGAAAGAGAGAGCGGGGACACGGGGAAAATCACCGCATGAAAGATATTGGTTGAAGGATATCTCTTCATTTTCAGCATATTTTTCTGCTGGGACTTTATCAACAAGTTACTGCGCCTTCATTGCATGTTGCCTGAGTGAAGGACTATGGCAGCTCGCCTGGCTTTAAACTTTAAATTTAGGCTGGAGATGGAGGTGGAAATATATGCCTACTAGCTGGAACTGCCTGGGGAACTATTACATCAGACGAAATGACAATGATTAAAATCTGCTTTTCGCTGCTCTAAATCTATTGAGCGACTAACAGTTGCCTGTTAGGTTTCCTACCCCATCTAAATCACAACTTCACACCGTTAAGGGGAGCGATCTACTTTTTGCCGGAAAAAAATAAGATAAGTTATTATATCTGTGCAGTCATAATTTTCGGGAATAGGGGGGTATCACGTTTTCTTTCTTGAGAAAATTGCCTGGGCGAGAGAGTGGAGTTGAGCTAATTGTAGCCTAATCCCTGGCCCAGAGGCGCTTGGGCAGCCCGGAGCAAGAATTTTCTTTTTTAGCTCTGCTCTGTTATTTAGAGACGGATTATTGGCTTTCTTCTTCTCATAACAAACCACAGGGGCAGTTTCATTTAGGCAAAAAAGCAGACAAGAAGCTGAAAGACGAAGCAGGATTCCAACAAGAGCGCACATCTTTACGCGTATCCAAATAAGAGCAGAGAAGGGGAAGGAGATCATCTCATCTATGTACAAGGTAAGGACGCTTCCTGTGCGCTTTGGTACAAAGAAGCTTGGTGAGGACAGGTCGAGGCAGCCTTGCAAATAGAGCCTTTAAAGCCACAGAGACTCTTTGCAAGCGAGTCCATCTCGGCCACAGCCTAGTGTCTTTTAAAAAGCAGTTTTGTGTGGGATACGGAGCAAAGACTTGGCTTTCCCGTGCGACAGTAGGCTATAGGTCCGTGCTGGAGCTGGATGGTGGTGTAGTTGTACCACAAACTCGGGGGCATTTGGAGAAAATATTTGAGAATTTTGTGGGTTACGCGGACAGCAGCTGGGACTGACCGGCGATCACGGATTTCCTCCGGACTCCCTACAATGTTTGAAACGGTAGGGTGAAAAAAATCCTATTACAGAATCCAATGTCTTTACGCACAGTGCTGGCTTATAGTCTGTACAGTTTTCGATGAGTATCGCCGAACTGGAGCTAACGTGGATACTGCTCGACCCAAAGGGGTTTTCCCTGTTTTCTCCCAGACTGGACAGTTAACACGTGTGGGTTTTATCAAGCGGCTGATGAATTACACGTGTCAGGATTATGCTTTTAATTGTACAGCAGGAATAAGACGCCATATTGAGCATTTGGTAAAATTAAAGGCAGAGCACAGGCTTGTAGTGTTAGTGTGGAGAGGGCTGTTGTATCGGGTTGTTTCCTTTTTCAAACGTTTCCGTGTCCGTTTTGTGGTTATTTTTATTTGTGGGCTCTCCGGATTATTTTATGTGGATGGCAGAAGTGTGAAACTGGCTACACCGCTTGGACAGGGTCAGTGGAAGGAGACAGCAACACAGCAGCTCTGAGGAGAAAGTTGATGCATTTACAGCTGATCTTGTGGAGGAATTTATCATACATGGTGTGTGTGTGTGTGTGCCCGTGCTCGTGTGGGAGATAGATAGAATGAGGGATCAGGGGAGAAATGTTGAAATGATTGAAATTGTGATTGATTGGGGAGGGTGACAAGATTTATTGGTCTGTTTCTTTCCATTTGTTCCTTTTTGTATGTCCACGTATGTAGTAATTTAATTAGTTAATTGATCGGTTGGTTGAGAGAGAGAGAGAGAGAGAGAGAGAGTTATTGGCGGTGGGACAGTCCGGTGTATATGTACCCCAAACTTCTTAAGTCTTTCCAAGTTTCTTTTTCTTTCCTTTTCCTGGGATTTGAAATGTAATCCCGTCCTCCTGTAATCGTATTAAAGGAACATGATACTGCTGTGAGGCGGACAACACCCTGCGGAAAGAAAGAAAAAAAAAAACCTCCAGTCACACTTTGTGCCCGACGGCACTTCTCTCAGAGCCGAGGGGCTGATCTGGACTCTCACAGCGGCCTTCAGTTCACCAGTCATGACAGTAAAACAGTCCATATGTACAACAACAAACGGATCGATTCTGCTGATTTACTGAAGGGTGAAATGGTATTATCTCAATCTGTTTAAACCCAGTTATATAGTTACCCAAGTATTATTTAAAGTTTTGTTGTCAATTACGTCAGGGAAGGTCTGCATTTCAACCAAAGCCCGGAGGGTAATGAATGAGTAATGATAAAGTGGGCAAACTGTGACCTTTAGTCAGTGAGGAAAACATGAAAATAAGAACTGGTGCAGTTTTAAAACAGCATCGTTTTGTTCTCTTTCGTTAATAATCCTCATTTAAACTTAACCACTCTGACATTTACTCCCTCAGTGATTTACACTTTACTCTCTAACAGACAAGAGTCACATTAAAACGTGGCCAATCTGAGGTTAGGTGGTTTACCTGCAGCTGTTGGCAAACAAATTACGCACCAGTAAATTGGAGATAAACGCCTCCCCTGCTCTTCCTGGAGCAGTGCGGAATCAAATATCGGCGTATCGAAGTGAATTAAAAATATTTTCTAAAACATTTTAGCAGCTAATCAAACTCAGTTCCGTGACCTCTGAGTGCACCAGCTTGCTCTCGTGTCAGTCCTCCCAAATCTGCGCCTCAGCACTCCCGCAACTTCTTGTACTGGCCTGTAAATAATGACGTTATTGTTAGTTTGCTCAGTGATTTCAGGCATGAGCTTTCTGACAGCATACATGCAGCAGGATGCTCCATGGTTCGGCCTGCTACCGTGGGCAACAGGATTTCTCTTGAACTGTGCGTTTTTACGCAGTGTTGGTTAGAAACTTATTTCTGCTGTGCCGTGGACCATTTTCTGTCGTCACATGACAAGCCATCACCTTAATCTTCTTTTGTTTTGAATGTATGTGTGTGCCCCCGTCCCCCGTCCCCAGTCCCTCCCCGCCGTGTTCTCCTTGCTCTCAGATTGGTGCTCGGTGTGTCTGGGCGCATCACGTCTAACACATAAGGCGACCTTTAATTAGAATATTGCAGCAGCAGTTTGTTTTATTCCCCTGGAGGCTGACACCTAGCATTCCTCCCTCTCCCTCACTCCGTCTCTCTATCCGTCCATCTCTCTCTCTCTCTCT